CAAGGCCCTGGAAGTTGGGTTTCTGCCCCTTTCAGCAAACCATTGGCAGTTGTCGTCTAGTTGTCTCCAATTCCTGGGGACCCCGTGTGTCAGAGCAGAACTGGGCCCCACTGACTTCAGAAGCTGACTGCTGGCCCTTTCTCCTGAGATGCCTGTGTGTGGACTCGAACTGCCAACCTTTTAGTCAGCAGCTAGTTTGTTGACCGTGTGCTCCCCCCAGGGTTCCTTCCTCCACTGAGCGGTGTGCACTTTTGCTTCCTCCACGCCTCCCCATGGCTCGACAGCCCTCCTTTTTATGACTAGATAGTGCTCCACTCTCTGGAGGCACCATTGTCTTCATCCATCCCCCTACCGAGGTTGAGCTTGCTTCCAGTTATTGGCAATGATGAATAGAGCAGCTGTAAATATTTGTGTGCAGGTTTCGTGTGGACATATGTTTTCAGTTCACGGGTACATACCTAGGCATGCGATGGCTGGGCTGAATGGCGAGGCTGTGTTTAGCTTCGTGGGAAACAGCCAGGGCATCTCCCAAAGTGGCCGCAGCACCTGCCTCCCCCCAGCAGAAAGGGGGCGTTCCTGTTGCTTCACATCCTCACCAGCACTTGATGGTGTCTGTTTTTGGATTTTAGCTATTCTAATAGAGAAACAATGATATCTTATACACACATATATATAATTAAAAAATATTTTATTGTGTTTTTGGTGAAAGTTTACACAACAAATTAGGCTCCCGTGTAACAATTTCTATACATGTTGTTCATGTCTACAGTATTTTTAAAACAAGTCAAGATAAGTAAGACAGCTTGGCCTGGATGGCATTTTAAGCTTCTCATGGGTAACCCCCAAACCAACCTGTTGCTGTTGAGTACAGCCTTCTCACAAGGACCCCATGTGTGTGTGGAACTGGGCCCCGTAGGGTTTTCAGTGGCTGACTTTTCAGAAGTAGACTGGCAGGCCTTTCTTCACTACTGTTGCTGGGTGAATTTGAACTGCCAACCCCATGGTTAGCAGCGGAGTGTGTTTATATCTTTGTACTACCAGGGACATTTTCTTACGGGTGTTGTTGTTAGGTACCGATGAGTTAGTCTTGTTTCATAGATACTCTGTGTACAACAGAGCGAAACACGGATTGGTCCTGCGCCAGCCTGACAGTCATTGCCGTGTTTGGCCCCTTGTTGTAGCCACTGTGTCAAACCACCTCCTTGAGAGTCTTCCTCTTTCTCACTGACACTTTACTTTACCAAGGATAATGTTCTTCTCCAGTCCCTTCTTAAATAATATGACCAAAGTACGTGAGACAGACTCACCGTCCTTGCTTCTAAGGAGCATTTTGGCTGCACTTCTTCCGAGACAGATTGATTCGTTCCTCTGGCAGGTTGTGGTGTATTCGGTATTCTTCGCCAACACCGTAATTCAAAGGCATCGATTCTCCTTTGGTCTTCCTTACTCATTGTCCAGCTTTCACACACACATGAAGCTACCGGAAATACCATGGCTTTGGGCAGGTGCACTTTAGTCTTCAAAGAGACATCTTTGCTCTTCAGTTCTTTAAAAAGGTCTTTGGCAGCAGATTTGCCCAGTGAGTGCCACATGTCATCTGATTTCGTGATGCTTCCATGGGTGCTGATTGTGGATCCAAGTAAAATGAAATCCCTGACAACTTCAGTCTCCTCTCCATTTATCACGATGTTGCTTATTGGTCTGGTTGTGAAGACTTCTGCTTTCTTTATGTGGAGGTGTCATCCACACTGAAGGCCGTAGTCTTTGATCTCCATCAGTAAGTGCTTCAAGTCATCTTTACTATTAGCAAGCCAAGTTGTGTCATCTGCATACTGCAGGTTGTTAATGAGTCTTCCTCCAATCCTGATGCCACACTCTTCTTCATATAGTCCAGCTTCTCAGATTATTTTCTCAGCATACAGATTGAATAGGTGTGGTGAAAGGATACAACCCTGACACACTCCCTTCCTGATTTTAAACCATGCAGATCCCCTTGTTCTGTTTGAACGACAGCCTCCTGGTCTATGTATAGGTTCCTCATGAGCACAATTAAGTGTTCTGGAGTTCCCATTCTTCTCAATGTTATCCTCAATTGTTAGGATCCACACAGTTGATTGCCTTTGCATAATCAATAAAACAGCTAAACATCTTCCTGGGATTCTCTGCTTTCAACCAAGATCCATCTGACATCAGCAGTGATACCCTTCATTTCACGTCCATAGGCCATGGAATTCTACGTAACCATCATCTTTCCCTACACTGTGTGTCCTGCTCGTGTCCAGCTTTGGGGCCTTCTGTCTAGGTTGGAGTTTGGTCCTTCTGTCTAGGTTGGAGTTGGGCCTTTCTGTCTAGGTTGGAGTTGGGCCTTTCTGTCTAGGTTGGAGTTGGGTCCTTCCGTCTAGATTGGAGTTGGGCCTTCCGTCTAGGTTGGTGTTGGGTCCTTCCGTCTAGATTGGAGTTGGGCCTTCCGTCTAGGTTGGTGTGGACATTTAGTGAATGGGAAAGGGACTTCTCGGCAGCTCTGTGTGTCCTCTGTGTGGACAAGCTGTCACCTGGCAGCTTCCCTTTCTGTGAAAAGAGGACGTGAACATGGCCCCACTCTCACAAGTTCTAGAGATGATCTGGTTTCCAGCCAAAAGAGGCAACTAGATGACAAAGTGTCAAGTAATTGTCACCTTCACAATGCTTGTTCCCTGGAGACACTGGTGGTTTCCGTTAGGCAGGAAACTGCCAACATCTGGACAGCAGCAGGAGCCCCGGAGCCCCACCCTGGGGAGAGCTGGTGCATCCCAGCGGTGGGCGTCTGCTTCCGTTTCTCCTTCCCCATTCCTGCTCAGATGAACCAACACCACGGGAGGCCTGGTGACTCCGTGGTCGAATACTCACCTTCCATGAAGGACACGTGGGTTCCATTCCCAGCCAGTGCACGTCAAGTGCAGCCATGGCCTGCCCGTCAGCGGAGGCCCGAGTGCTGGTGGGATGCCGAACGGGCTTCCGTGGAGCTTCCTGCAGGTAAAAGGCCTGGCAGTCTTCTTCCGTTGGCAGTCAGCCAGTGGAACCCTATGGTGCACAGTGGTCCGGTCCACCACCGATCACGGGGCTGGTTCGGGCGGGGCAACATTTGCATCCGTTGGGATGGTGCTGCTGCTGCGGTCAAAACCAACAGAGCTACCGGTTTCTAACCCAGCAAACCACTGTAAGGAAGCACTTGCAGAGCCACACAGCCACGTGCAGACCAAGCCTTCTCCAGGGCCCTGTGGGACTGCAGTGGCCCAGGGGCACCACTAGGGGCGCCTCGTCCTCCCCAGCCCCGTGGGGATTGACTTGGCAGCTGTGAAATCGGAGCGGGAACGGGCATATTTGTTTTGAGGCAGATGGCTCTTCCAAGGCCCAAGTGTGGCTTCGTCCTGAGGCCTCCTGTCCCCTCTTCTTGTAGATCCGCCGCAGGGGTCTCCCCAGAGCCGCTCGCCCGCCCAGTCTGGGCAGCACCACGCTGTGAGGCTGTAGACACAGCTCTCACTCAGGCCGATCCCTGGACCAGGGCTCTGGAAACACAGAATTCCTTTTGATCTTGCAATCTCTCAAGTGCAGGCATTTGGAAATGTCCTGAAGCGGTGGTGGCCGAGTGCCAGGGAGGAGGCGGGCGGCGAGGGGGAGGGGCGGGGGCGGGGCTGGGAGGGGCAGGGCTGGGGTAGCAGGAACTCCTTTTGCACCACGGGAAGGCAGGAAAGAGTTACCACCTCGAGGCTTGTTACAAATTGAATTGTGTCCTCCAGAAGACGTGTTCAAGTCCTAACCTCCATATCTTACTGAGAAATAAAGTCGATGCGGATGGAGTTAATCAAGATGAGGCGTTAGTGTGGACCCTCAAGTGTTTGTGACCAACTCATTGCCATCAATCGATTGCGACTCACAGCTTCCCCAGAGGACAGTGCTCTGGGGTTTCCAAGGCTGTCTGTCTTCACGGGAGTAGACTGCCTCATCTTTCTCCCTCAGAGCCGCTGCTGGGTCAGCTTTGGCTACTGCACCATGAAGGCTCCTCTTCAGGCTACAGTCCTTAGAAATGGGGAAGAAACAGAGAGACACACGAAGAAGGGCATGTGACGACACGCAGAGATGGGAGTGACGCTGCCACAAGCCGGGGGACACCTGGCGCCACTGGACGCGGGCAGACAGGGAAGATTCCTGGAGCCTTCGGAGAGAGCATGGCCCGGCCAGAGCCCTGACTTGGCACTTTGAGGCTGCAGAGTATAAGACAATACATTTCTGTTAAGGGACCTGGTTTGTGACACCTGGCTATGGCAGCCATGGGGACCAATACAAGGTCTTGCCTTGTGTTCTCATGCATGTTTCCCACATATATGAAAGTGCTGTGTGCTACTAATACATGTGCTGATTACCATGTAGATTTTATGTATTTTTACATGTTGTGTTACCCATGTGTAATATGGTGATGCATGTGTGTGGGGAACGTAGCCTGTAACACGGGGGTATAACTCCCGTATGGGGAAGTGTGTCCATCTTTGTTAAGCAGCTCAGCGTATTTTGATGTGTGTAATCTGTGTAACCACCCCACGGATCGGGATGAGGACCCCCCCGGGAGGTAGCGTTGACCCTGACTTCTGGCACCACAGGTGGGTTTGTCTGTTTGGGGACCTTGTAGGAGCGAATCTCATGGCACCTGCCTTTCTGTCTCAGCAGTCCGTGAGATCTGAGAATTCGTTTTGTACAGCCCAGGGTATCCCACCAAGTGCCTGGACCACACAGTGTTTATTGTGCTGTTGATGGACTTTCAAGAACTGGGAATTACAGACAGTGCTTCAGTAAACACCCCCACCTACGGTTTCTTCGCAGATTAGTCGGATTAACTTCTAGGTGTGGCCGGGAAGGGGTTCAAGGGAGGGGAGGTTGGGAGACGGACACCTGGCCTCCCGAGGCCGCAGCTTGTACTTGGCTTCTCTGCAGTCCCTGGCGCTCGGGGCTGCTGGGGCCAAGCTTACGTGTCAGCCGCAGGTCTTTTGAGCCCCTTGTGTTTCGAGCTGAGGGTTTTCAGGCAGATGCATGTGGCTGGGCGTTTCACCTGGGCTCGTCCTGCAAACGAGGCTTCCTCCAGCCCCTCCAGGAGTCTCTGCAGCTTAAACTTGCAGATACTCCGCCCCCCCATCGCCTTGGGGGGCTGCAGTGGCCGTCCCACACCGTCCCAGTTCCTTCTTTGGCTGCGTTTACCCCTCAGCACCCTCTTTCTCCTGCACTGTTAGATGGTCTCACATAGTGAGGGGGGATATCGCAGCGCCGAAATCCCCCACCGGGGGACGTCGGGGCTTCTTGGTGTTGCTCGGCACATGGTGTTTGATACGTTGGACACACCCAGCCTCTTCACCAAGCTCTTCCTCGGGTGTGTGAGTGTAAAACTATGTCTGCAGAGAGTGTGGGTGTGCACGCACGCTCACCCAGCTCTCTGTGTGCATAATTCTCCTGCAGTGTGTGTCTGTTACATGCACCGTGATGACACCCAAACGGTCCCGTGACATTCCTGAAGGCAGCAGGCAAGGAACACCTGCTCTCAACCCTGTGCTGAGTGAGGGGTCCAGGTCACAACCGGGAAGAGGATAGGGCTGTGCCCTCAGGGACTTTTGCCCACACCCCAAAGTGGCAGTGAGTGGGCTTAGTTTGCCTCCCATGTGTGTCGTGAGCCCAAGCTGGGTTTTAAAAAAGTGAGTTACCTGCTGACATTTAATAATTCGGAGCATCATTTTTTAAAAAAAATCCACCTACATACAACTCTTGGTCCCTGCTTGTCAGGAACAGAAGAGGAAGAAGGAACCAAAGTCTCAGCGAAGAGATGATGCAGGGCTCAGCCTCCATGAGCCACGGCCACACCTGCTCCGAGACCAGAGGAACTAGATGGTGCCCGATACCACTACGTGCTGTACTGATCAGGGCCACACTGACCGAGTGGGAGAAAAACACGGAACAGAACGCAAATGATTAAAAAGTCCAGACTGGACCAGTTGAGACCAGAGGGCCTCCTGAGACTATCACCCTGAACGGAAACTGTCTGAGGGCACTTTTAGCGAAATAACAGACAGGCACACAAAATAAAGGATATTACCCGTGAGTATGGAGCGCTGCTAAAAGAAACATCTTCATGAGACCAACGTTTGGTCTAAAGCAAAGGTGAGAAATAAGGGAGCAGGGAAGCTAGAGCCCTGGACACGGGACAACCAGAATGCGATGAACGGGAACGCCCACTGTCTGAGAAAAGTGTCACTAAGCAAATCCGCATAGAAGGTGTCAGACAGGAACCTCATTTACTGTGTAAGCTCTCACTGAAAGCACCATACAATACCATTCGGGAAAACTCCAGTTTTCAGCCTCTTATACAAACGGGGGGATGTGGTACACTGGGCTGGCTGCCCGCACGGCAGTGACCCGTGGGGCTCGGTGTAGCCGCTCCTTTCCCTGGGACGGGGGGACTCTCACTGCTGCCGCACACCTCACTGCTCCCTGTTGTCCTCCAGTCACTGAGGCCCAAGGTCAGCCTCCATTGGTTATCACACGTGTGCTGAGGTTCTCCTTATAGGAGAGTGAAGAAAAAAAGCATAATGCTTCCAGGACCCTAGTGTCTGTCAGCAGTGGGAAAATGGAACGTAGGTGGAGAGGTCTGTTTCTAGGAGAGAACACCGGTCCCGGGTCTGTGACAGCACATGGGGCGGGTCCGTGGGCACGGTGCCCAGTGCATTTGTTTCATTTGCGATGAAACAGACCAGCCCTGCACCATTTGCGTGTCCGAGTGGACATTTAAGGATCCCTGGTGGCACAATGGTTAAGCCCTTGGCTGCTAACCGAAAGGTCAGTGGTTCAAATCCATGCAGCAGCTCCCCATGGGAGAAAGGCCCTGTGGTGGTTATGTTTGTGTGTCGACTTGGCTGGGCCTGGGTGAGTGGCTGGGCAGCTGGTGGTAGTTATTCCCCATGATGAGACTGGCAATCACCTCCATGGTGGGCTCCACCACAAGTAGCTGAGTAACTGCCTTTGGGATGTGGTCTGCTTCCTATATATAAGAAGCAGCTTGGGGAATGGTCTCTAGCTGATGGCACGCTTGGACCCTGCATGTAGCCGTGTCGTTGTTCAGCAGCCTGCCATGCTCTGCTGACCTTGGGACTTACAATGGACTTAAATTAATGGCCTATGCCATTTTATTTGTCAACCTTGGACTTGTCAGCCTAAGCAGCCAGCAGCTGTCTGAGTGAAGAAAAACCTCTAGCTCCAGTGGGCCGGGAGCAGGAGGTAGAGCTGAAGCCCAAGGCTGAGGGGCTTTCACCCAGCCCCTAGAGCCTGGCACTTTGAACTTGGACTTAAAGCCTCCAAACTGGAAGAGAATAAACTCCTGTTGTTCAAGCCTCCCATTTGTGGTACATTCCTGTCAGAGCAGCACTAGGGAACCAGAACAGGCCAGGTGGTCTCTTCCCATAAAGATGAAAACATTCACTATTGTGGAGTCCATTCTGACCCACAGCGCCCCTAGAGGACAGAGTGGAACTGCCCACAGGGTCTCCAAGGCTGTCAGTCTTCATGGAAGCAAAGCCCAAACCACACCCACTGCATGGAGTCCATTCTGACCCACAGCGCCCCTAGAGGACAGAGTGGAACTGCCCACAGGGTCTCCAAGGCTGTCAATGTTTGCAGAAGTAGACTGTCTGTCAAGATTATAGCCTAGAAACCCCTATGGGGCAGTTCTGCTCTGTGACACGGAGTCACTGGGAGGTGGAAATCGTCCCAGTGGCACCTAACCACAACACTGGGCCTTGACGTTGACTGCTGCTGGGGCTGTGGGAGTTGTAGGTGTTAACGCTATACCCACTGTCGTCGAGTGGGTCTGACTCCTGGCGACCCCAGGGGACAGAGTGAAACCACTCCACTGGGTTTTCTTGCCTGAACTCTTTGTGGGAGCAGATGGCCGGGCTGCCCTCTGTGGGCCCTCAGGGTGGGTTTGGGCTCCCACCCTTCAGGTCGGCCACTGAACACAGACTATTGGTGACATGTGCAGACCCACCTGGAGCTTAGTCCCCAGGTTACAGGTTCGTAAGTCATTTCGGTGATGGTACCTGGTTACCCCATTGCAGGGGTGTTAGGGGTGTGAAGTGAGCAGGTGTAGAGGGTTGAATGGTAGCCCCCGGAACATATGTCCTAACATCACCCTCTGCTCCCGTGGGTCTGTAGAAATGGGGTCTTTGCAGATGTATTTAAAGATCTTAAGACGAGGTCCTCCTGGATGAACTGGGTGGGTCCCATATTCAGGACAGGTGTCCAGATAAGGGATGGAAGAGGGGACATGCAGACGAGAAGGCCACGTGATGACGGCGCCTGGGACGGCGTGAAGCAGCCACCAGCCAGGAAGGCCGGCAGCCACCGGAAGCTGGGGGAGACAAGGAAGGAACCTTCCCCAGAGCCTGTGGGAGCACAGCCCTGCCACACCTTGACTTTGGACCCTGGCTCCAGACTGCAAGGATCCGATCCTGTTGTTGTCAGCACCCCACCTGTGGCCATTGGTTCCAGCAGCACAGGGCCACAGTCTGCACGGATCGGGGGAGGGGTGATATGCGTCACCCCCCAAGGGCCAATTGGCACAAAACACGGAACAATTCACTTTTGGTCTCACTCCCCTTTGGGCTCATTTATCTTTGGGGTCAGTAATGGGACAAGGAGGCCTTGCTTCATTTATAGGATCGTAAGGCTCCTCGCATGCCCTGCATTAGAAACGCTAAAAACGGAAGCCCCACTTTAACAGGGAGGAAGCTGAGCACGGGATGGGCGTCAGGGTCTGCTTAGCTGCCCGTAGAATGACCGCAGAGCTGGGTGCGGGGCCCAGTCGTCCGAGCCGAGAGGAGACCGTGGACGGGACTGGTGGATGCTTCCCTGCTGGTGAGTTGTGGCAGGGCCCGCGCTCCGGGTCTCACCTTTGTAAACAATTGCTAGGTCCAAATGCCATCTCTTTGTTGCAACACATGGTCCGTCAGAAACAGGGACATCTTCCCTACACTTACTGGTCAGTTGGATTTCTTTGTTGGACTGTCTCCATGCTTCGTATGAGAAAAGCAAAGTCCTTTTGAAAATTACACAGTGGAAAGCACAGATCCCTTCGCCTGTGTTGTTAGCAGCTGTCAGGGCGGGCTCTGACTTGCCGAGAGCCCGTGCACGGTGGGGTCAGAGCATCAGGATCCAGTGGGCTTTCACCGGCTGACATTTGGAAGGAGATTGGCAGGCCTGTCTGTCTTCGTCCAGACACTCCACTGAAACCTGCTCACACCCTAGCAACACCCAAGCCTCCGCGGACCGATGGCTGGTGGCTGATTATGGACAGGTTGGCCGGGAATTGAACCTGGGTCCCCCACAGGGGCACAGAGGACCCCTGAGCTACTAAAACAAAGCCCAAACCCTTGCCAGTGAGTGGCTGCCACCTCCTGGTGACCCCATGTGTTAGAGAGTAGAATTGCCCCATGGAGTTTTCTTGGTTGTAACCTTTCTAGGGGAGCTCTGGTGCCTAAGGCACTTGACTGCTAACCAGAAGGCCAGAGGTTCAAACCCACCAGCCACTCCTTGGAAGGAAGGTTGGGTGATCTACTTCCATAGTGATACCGCCTCGGAAACCCAAGGAGCGGTTGCTATGAGTTGGAGTCAACTGGGTGGCAGGGAGTTTGGTTTGATTGGAGTCGACTGGACAGCAGTGCGTTCGGTTTGGTTGGAGTCGATTGGACGGTGGTGCGTTCGGTTTGGTCAGAGTCGACTTGACGACGGCTGTGTTTGGTTTGTTTGGTCTAATCTTTACAGAAGCAGACCACCAGGCCTTTACTCCATGGCACTGCTAAGTGGGTTTGCACTGCTAGCCTCCAGGTTAGTTGTTGTTGTTGTTGTGTGCTGTCTGGGTTAGTTCTTGTTGTTGTGTGCTGTAGTCAAGCACAAATCATTTATGTTGCGTGGAGACCTGTAGTGAACCACGATCCTGCACGGCAGTCACCCCTAACCCAAGCCCACTGCCAGCGGGTTTATTTGACTCACAGCAACTCCCACTGGGTTTCCAAGGCTGTAACTCTTTACAGGAGTAGATTGCCTCATTTTCCTCCTGAAGAGCAGCTGGTGGGTTTGAACCACTGGCCTTCTGGT